AGTACTGAGAGTGTTGTCCAATATTAAGTATAAATAAAAGACCTCAAAACTAGGAAGGAATTACATTTCTAATTGGGAATTGAATTTGCTGGTAAAGATAGTAAAATTGAGGAAATTGAAGATAAGAGTAGCATGATCATGTGAAAATAAACGTAGAAATCTATACCATTATGTCTTCTAATCTTTAAGGAAGGTATCTGAAAAATTATTTTTCAAATTATCACTAGTAAATCAATTATCAGTCTTCAATAATTTATACTATGTCCTGAAAAAACAGATTTTCATAAGTAAGGAAAACTGACCAGAGAAGCATAACATATTATAATACAAACATGGGATTTAGACTCTAATTTTGTTATACAAAGTAAATAAGGTTACCAGGCTTTGAAGGACATTTCTTTCTAACTTTTTTTTTTCTTTCAGGGTGATCTTGGAAAAAGAAGGGCCTCGTTCCTTGTTTAGAGGATTGGGCCCCAATTTAGTGGGGGTGGCCCCTTCCAGGTAAAAACAGTTTAAAAAGTTAAACAATTAAATGGCAGTCTTTCTTGTTTCAGGGTGTCTGTATTTAAGCATTTATAGATACAGTTAAATTTATAAATGTAGTTTTCAATGTTTATGAGAAGTTAAAATACTTGATATTTTTAAAGGATTTCAGATGCTAATCAGAACAAATTTACATAATAAAGTAATACTTGGTGGTAGGTAATGGTACTGGGTATTTTGAAGACCAGCAATATTTTAGTACTGTTTGAAATTAACAGTAATAATATGAATGCAAGGGATATGTTCCGTAATGTAAGGGAGAGAATGTATAGTATTTGTATTAAATTATTGATAGTCTTGTACTGGGGGGAAAATAAAGAAGCATGGCATGTTATAGCTAGAGGTTTAAGGAACACTGTATTTATAGATAAGAGATTTAAATTTTTAAATTTTATGGACAGACCTGAGATTTTTGGGGTAGAGGTATTGTATTCAAAGTTGAAAATGGTGAAGATAACATTTATCTTTATATTGTCTAGACTAGGAGGTATAAAGTTAGTAATATTCGCAAGATAAATCTGGAAATAACCTTGTAGCTAGTGGCTACATATTGGGTCCTCTTGGGAGCATGCTTGTACTCTCTTCTGCCCTTAGGAGTTAGAAGAATTTTGAGGGGGAGCATTGAAAATCTACACAGAGCTAAGCCCATGAACTATTGACATTTTGAAATAGGTGTTTGGTAGTTTTTGGGAATTTAACTAAACCAACTCTTGCATTGTGAAAAATTTTGTCTCTAAGAAAAATAAGCATTATTTTAAACACATGGTTTTCTTGGGTTAAAAGGTGTTAGTATTTAGGATGTATCTCAGTTTTTCTGCTTATTCTGATAGCTATTGTGTTTTGTGCTCCACCTAAAGTTAATGCTCCTTTCTGACTTTCTACCTAGAAATTAAACTTCAAAGAAACAAGATGGAAAAGTAGAACCAAAGAGCTAAGAAGGGTGTCAGGACTTAGAACAGGGTTGAAGAAAGGGACAAGAAGTTTAAAATCAGAGAATTTGTGCAGCTTTGAAGGGAAGTAAGAGGTACCTACCATAGTAAAGGAAGCCTAGTAAAGGGAGATGCTGAATAGAAGTCAAGGTAATGAGGATAAAGCACTGTGGTGTAACAAACAGGTATCAGTAACCATTTAAAAGGATGGGCAGATTGCACCATGTGGAGGTGCAAAGGACCTCTTAGTGAGATCATTGTGAGTCAATTTTTGCATCAAGTCAAAAGACAAAGAACAAATACAGGAACTAATAACTTTGAGAACTAACAGTAAGAAAGGGGAAGATCTGGAACTCTAAAACTAAGCCATTTTTTGGCTTAGGGGACAAGCCAAACATAGAATGGTTCTAGTCCCTGTTAAAGAAACCGAAAAGGCCTGAAAACATTACCTTGTCGTTTTTTCTCTGATACTATTTTATCTTAGATTGTTGACTTCTTCGATGATAGAACTGTACAGAGTTCATAGAGTGAAAATGCATACCCAGCTTTCTGTATCCAAACTGTGTACCAGATCCATGTCTTGCTGTTAATTGAGTTTCAACTTCTTATGGGCTCTTTTCTCTCCTTCAGAAGTTAGCCAAAATTGCATCCACATTATAATAACTGAACAAAAAAATATATAGCATAAAGTTTGACATTCCACTTGAAACACATCACCTCTTACCCCATGCACCTTCCCACACACACTTACTCTTCTCCTCACAGATAACCACCATTAATAAACGATTTGGTGCATAGTCTTCTAGTAATACTTTGGGGTTATCATATACATAAAAATGTGTACTTACATTTATTATAATTTACATAAATGGAACCATACTAAGTATTTAGCCTAATTTATCTTGAAGCTTTTCTGTGATAATATGTGGGGTGTTTCTTTTTAATTTATCGTATGACTATCCCATCATTAATATGCATTCTCTTGATATAAATTTAGATTATTTCCATATTTTCACTGTTAAAACCAATGATTCTGTGAACATACCATAACCTTTATTTTTGAGTGCTTAAGGAAGTATATATTTTTAGGATGTTTACCTAAAAGTGGGATTTCTGGATTAAAAGGGCATATGGATATTTAAAAATAGTGAATATTACTAAATTACCTTATAAAAAAACATACCATATTTTTATTCTCAAATAGTGAATTAGTTGCTCTTTATCCACATCCTTTACCAATACTGGCTGCTGTTCATATTTTTAGTACTTGCCAAATGGACTAAAAATCATTTTTCACTGTTTTAATTTACACTTATTTAATTTTGGCACAGTCACACCCCCTTTCTTACAATTTGTCATTTATATATCTCTTGTATGAATTGCCTGTCTATATTTCATCCCCATTTTTTCATTAGGATATCTTTTCTTATAATTGTCTAAAGGAATTGTTTATTCCTCTTCACAGTTTGGCATCATGTATCCTGTTTTTCTTTCTCATTAAAAAAGCACAATGGTGAAACTCTCCCTGTTTGTACTTGTTTGTCTACTCCGTCCCTTATTGGACACATAATAAGGATTGTTGGGAAAATAACAGGATATTTCATACAGCAAGCAAATAGTTCAGTGCCTGGAAAGTTAAACAATGAGGAGGTGGTGGGGATGCATAGTCATAGTCAGTAAGTTAACAGGAGAAATAATTAAATTTCATCGAATGTTTACAGCTAATTGGAAAAAATATTGTGGCCTCATGGGTCTGATTTCTTTTGTTGGAATTGTTTTGTCTATTTAAGGATACTATGAACTTACTGTGTGTAGTATAGATTAGAATATACTACAGTGTCTCAAAATTGTTTAGCATATATGTTGATCAGCTGGATTAGCTCTACCCTCTTCTCCCCACCCAAAAATTACATATTTGTTAAATGCTTATACCACATTTACTTTACTTGGTTAAGTATATTTACTTTAGGCTCAGTATTGCATAAGCCATATAGCCTTACTCATTCATGCAATTTCCAGTTATCAAAATCTTATACAAATACTTTTTGTTTCAGTTACTCAGATGTTAAGTAGCTGTTAGAGTATTAGATTGGGGTCTGTTTGAGAAGGGATGCCAGGAACTTTACATTTGAGTTTGTCTGTTTTTAATTTTTTAATTTTTTTAAATTTATTTTTTCTTTTTAAGTTCCCAGATGCCATTAAGAAAGTTTGTCTTTTCTTTAATGAGTCAATACAAAAAGTACTTCAGGGCTGAGTGCAGTGGCTCATGCCTCTAATCCCAGCCCTTTGAGAGCTCAGAGCGGGAACATTGCTTGAGGCCAGGAGTTTGAGACCAGCCTGTCTCTACAAAAAATTAGACAGGCGTGGTGGTACATGCTTGTATTCCCAGCTACTCAGAAGGCTGAGACAGGAGAATTGCTTGAGCCCAGGAGTTCAAAGCTGCAGTAAGCTATGTTCACGCCACCACACTCCAGCCTGGGTGACAGAGTAAGACCCCATCTCTAAAAATATAAAGAATAAAATTTTTTAAAAGAGTACTTCAGGGTATTCAAGGAAATAATGTGTACATTAATACGATGTTACATGAGAATGTGGCTCTTTGTTTTTAGATGTCTCCATTCTAAAATTATGAAGATCAGTTTACATTTAAATCCTGTGAATTAAGCATGTTTCTTGATAAATTTAAATCTTTATTTTTAGAGCAATATACTTTGCTGCTTATTCAAACTGCAAGGAAAAGTTGAATGGTGTATTTGATCCTGATTCCACCCAAGTACACATGATTTCAGCTGCAATGGCAGGTATGAATATATAATATTAAAAAACAAAATCTTTCTGAAACGTAGAGACTTTATGATAAGTTTGTATTGAAAAGTTAAGATAATTAATATGGTTTTCATTGATTAACATCTACAAAGATGATTTTTACATTTATTAATATAAAACAAATTTTATTAGGTATATGTAAAATCTGTTGGCATTTTCGTAATTAGGAGTCTAAGTGATAGGATGTAGGTAATATATTAATACTGCCTTGTGTAGTGCTCTGATTTAGTGATCACTTTTAATAGTTTTAAGAATCCAACCATAATTACACTACAAATAAGTTATGGAGCTATAATTTATTCTTCTCTCCTCAATTTCTGTTAGTGCCTTTTCCCTTTTTGCTGCATGTTTTGGCTTCTATCTGAAATGTGTCGGCAGTTCTTGGTAAAGTATTCATTTTGTCCTGTGCTCAAATGCTGAAATTTTTGTGAGTGTTGTATTATTAATAACTCAGTTACTCTAATGTGTATCTTTTTAAAAATGTGTATCATTCCATATAAATCACACTAGATAGCACCTGAAATTTAGACACTGGCTATGTGTACATGCTTGCTATAGGAATGTTTCCAGGAACTCTTCTGTCATCATTGATGAGTATATATGATTCTGAATTAAAACCACTTGGCTCAGGTGTCTGCCCTGCCTTAAAGATAAACTATGGGAGATTGGTTTGACCAATCTGGTTCTGGAATCATTTGCTGCCATGCATGTTAGACAAAGCCATGAACTTTGGTTCTCAATAAAAAGTTCTCTCCAATTTTCCAAGATTTGTAGCCTATTTACCCATATCTCACATTTTCAACATATGCTGTGACTTTATAAAGCAAACTTTATAGCTGCTTTCATCAGCTATTGATCAATGAAATGAGTGTCGATTATGCTATTAATAATGAGTGCCTTAAAACCACTTTCTGTTTAGAAAAAAATTGTATCAATTTGAACCATATACTTAACTAAGTTTGAAATACTGACTTCTGAAAGATTGATAGCCATTGCTATATAATAAATCTAGCATATACAAGTTGTTTTCAAGGTTTTTTATATTTAATAATTGTTGACTGACTCATTGAACTTTTAAAGTCAGAAGGGACAACTTTAAAGATCAAGATAGTGAAATACTCTAATTTACCAATAAGGAGATCTTGGGCAAGTTATATAATTTATGAACCTCTGTTACCTTATCCATGGAATGGGTAGACTGGTCTACATAGATTGGGATTTTAAAAATTAGTTCTTTCATTTAGTATCATAGAAATTATCTAGTTACAACTAGAATTATTTTTTAATGTATTTTTTACAGATGTTGAATATGTGTATATATATGATTTCCCCCTTAAAATTTGAGTGAGTATAAGGTAAAAGTTGGTGGCCAATGACAAACCTTATAACCACCCTATTAGGTACTTTAAGAATATATTTCTGGATTATCAGTGTTTATGTTTTTGGCTTTTATCCCCAGGAAATCGAAATGCTAATCTTTTCTTTTTTGAAAAAATTGAAATCGAGAAGGTAGATGAACAGTCATTTTAAGTTCAGGATACTTGTTTTATATTCAGTATCACAAATTTGGGGGTTCAGAATGTCTTAATTTCCACTGGAACATCTTATTTCAATATTTCATCATCATTATTATATTTATATCACATCGCAAAGAATTTCAGTAGAATTGTCAGTGTGTACAAAGTTAATGTAGTTTGTTTTCATCTATATATCAATACTATTTCCCAACTTGAATTCCTTGCATTTTGGTAAATCGATAGTCTTATACTTATTCGTAAATTATTGCACTTACTGTATAGTTTGAAAATAGTTCTTCCATTTGTTTGCAGTTACATTGTTCTGAGACTTGTGTTTCAGAGCTTCCTTGCACTATTCATGAGCATTAGCATTTAGCTTTGCAGTTTTTATATGTAACTATATATGATTGTTGAAACTGAATGGTCTAATGCAGACTCATTAAGGTAGTCTTTTGCTCCCTTCATTCTTGAAATAATAATCTAGACCAGATTGTTCTGATTTTTCTTCAGGATCGTTTTTATAGGTCTGAATATGATTTGGGGTTGCAAAGTACTTAAGAGATCATCATGTGAAAAATCGTGTTTAACTGGCTATTCAAGGAAAAAAAATGCTAACCTTGTCACTTTAGTATCAAAAAATGCACAAAATATACCATTAACAATAATGCCTGCGAGATTTTGCCACACCAAGTAGCACACACATTAAGGCTTTAGTAAATTATTCCAAGTAACCTCTCAATTCAGTTTCATTTTGCATTTCATTCATGCGAACTCAAGTGTTTAAAGTTGTGAGGATATTTAATCAAATTAAGTAATATTGACTCTGTTTATGTTTTTCCTGCCTCTTTTTCCCCTATATGACCTTTGTCAGACTGAGTATATCTTAGCTATTGAGGATAATCTGTGCCTGTGTGTTTTGTTTAAATGATCTTGAATATCCCTCTGTATATACCTGGGCACATATGTGCACAAAAAATTAAGTTACTTTATAGTAATTCTAAATTTTTAAAAGTTTTTATCTGGCATGTATATACTTTTATATACAACATTATAAATGTAAAGGAAATGAATTCTAATTTTTATTGGATTATTTATTCATATAGCTACTGTTCAGTCTTTAAAATACCAATAATGTAATCATTGAATATTTTATATATTCATAGTGGGTTTTAGTGGATACACTGTTTTTCAAGATACATTTTTCTGTTTGACTTAAAGTTCATTATTAAAGGTTAAGTTTCTAGTCATTAAATAACATTTCATCTTGCATTTATAAAATATTTTTAAACAATATTTTATTTGTCCATGGCGGTTCATTCAGCCAGGTTGATGGTTGGACAGATGTTTTGTGTTTGTGTGTAAACATTGTTCCTGTTTTTTGTTTTGTAGAAGACAAGAAATTAAATAGAAAATAATCCAAAATATTTCATAAATATGGATGTGCAATATTACTGGCCATAGTGCAAAAGGTGAAAGGTACTATTGTAGCAACATATACTTTATTTTATAAAAAATTATAATAGCTCCAAAATGAAGTTACTTGAATATTCTGTTGGGGTTTTTTTTTTTTTTTTTAAAGGTTTACTAAGGCGTATTTTTAAAGAATAGAAAATTGTGTTTTCAGCTCTTTGACCACAGTAGATAATAATGGTAGGAAAATGATAATCCCCTCTAAATATTCCCCTTTGACAAGGTTAGCATTTTTTCTTTAAGGCAAAATTGATCTTCTTTTAGGTAAGTATTTGGACTCTGAAACTGATGCAGATGGCAGGATTTTCAGTACTCGGTGCATTTTAAAAATTATGGTCCATTTTGATATTCCTTTTCTTTTTCTTTTTTTAACTTAAAATTTTCCAAAAAGTTAGATCTCACAGTAAATATTTCTCAAATCCTTCCAGTGGGATTCAATTTGTACACGTGTTTCTGATGAGGTCACTGCTTGTTGTTATGATACAGAAAAGCCTGTGTCTATTTTAGGCATTTACTGTACATTTCTCCCGAGAAAAGAGTGAGATCGTGTCATCTCATGCTCCCCATCCGCAGGTCACTTCCTGTAGAAATATGGACTAACTTAAACCTCGTGAGTACTGATCTGAGCATCTCTTGCAGCCTCTAGTATAAGAAACACACCCTGGGATTTTATAATAGCTGTGGAATTGATAGAAGGCGGGAAATGAATTTTTATTTCCTGAATTTATGTGTGCATTATTTTATAAAAATTTAATTCTGATCCTTTTATAATATTCCTTCTAGAAGGAAGAATGGGGTACTTTTCAGTCATCACATAATAAAAGCCTGGGGTCTTCAGCTTGGCCATAGCAGCCTTGACCTCCAAAGAATTTGATAACAATATATATACATAGTTATAAATGGTATCAGACCATCCTACGAGTTTTAGATAAAGTAGCACTCTTTGCTTAGCATAACACATTTAAAAGTCTAATACAATGCTTTCCATTCTCTCGTGTGTTGATACATGGCTTTCTACTCTTTGCAAAAATATTGATCTTAATTCCATTATTTTCCAAATAAATGCAGGACAAGAATACAGGGGATCTTAGCTGTTTTAGTTTTAATTACTTTAAAAAATTGTTTTAATACATTTTTCTTAGGAGTTTAGGGGGGCTTTATTCTTACAGAAGTTAATTGAAACGAAAAGTACTGAAAATGCAATACTACAGGTATAACTCACTTAATGAAATAAACATTTTCAGCAGGTTTATTATAAGCAGAATTTTTCTGTTAATCTGGTTTTTAATTGGTTTACATTATCAAATGGAGTCTTAGATGAAACAAAACTTCTAAAATTGCATTTGAATTTTTTTTAAACTTTCTAATAAAACACTAGCCACATTACTAACAGTATGACCAATATATTAGCATTTGGCTTTAACTGACTATGGAACTATATTAATTCTTATTAACGAACATGTACTCTAAGATTGTTTTAATGTTTCACTGGGTGTTCAGAATATTAATATAAATTAACATATTATCAAAATGTCACAAAATTAAAATGTGAAATAAAAAGGCCATTTCTAAATTGCGGGGACCCAATCCCAAAATGTTTGTGTTTGTTTTAGAAGTAGTAGGAAGATATATTTAGCTTTGGCTAACCTCAAATTGCCATATGATGTATAATTCTAAGTTAATGATAAGATTTTTCTCTCCATTTGTTTCATTTCTTGGATTAATCAATTATATATAGAGATAGATTTAATTAGCTTAATAAATGTCTGCTTAGTTTATTAAAATGTCTTTGGTTAAGAGAAAGTGATAGCATAAAACTCAAGGACCTGAGTTTGAAGTGGTAAAAGGCCAATAGCTAAACACCTGTGGATTATGCCTAGCTTCTTTATCTAACCTAATGGTTTGCTGGTAGTTAGGCTAGTGTCTTTATTAAGAGCTAACTCTCATTGTTGAAAGAGTTGAACCAGAACAACTATAGTAAACATAACTTAACTGATAATAGCAATTATATAGGGATAAGATAACATTCTCTCACTTACCTAAATTTTAATGTGTCTCCTGTTACATAGGTTAATTTAGCGTGGAAATGAATTTTAGTTAAGTGAGAAATACCTGTTGTTTGCTTTCTGACATTGTTTATTAATAAGTAGAGATGATAGTTTAAAATTAGAATTTATGGGTCTTTAAAAAATTCCTAGTAACATTTATAAATATTTGTTATAATATTTTAAAGTTTTATATATTTATGGGGTTTTTTCCAGCCTCAAATTGGAGAATTTTGTGACTTGGAAGAATATTATGGGCAAAAACTTTACTACTGAGTTTTTACTTTTTAGAAATATAATTTTTGTTAAAGAAAAACTTCAGTGTTCATCTTCTTTTCAAATAAAGTATAATAAATTGAATGAGAATTTTTACCTAAGATAAGCTGTTTTTTAAAAAAGTTTGGTATATAAGGGGCAGGATGTGGTCACTCACACCTATAATCCCAGCACTTTGGGAGGTCAAGGTGGGAGGATCACTCGAGGCAAGGACTTTGAGACCAGCCTAGGCAACATAGTGAGACCCTATCTCTACAAAAAAAAATTAAAAGTTAGCCAGGCGTGGTGGTGCACAGTAGTCTTAGCTGTTCAGGAGGTTGAGGCAGGCAGGAAGATCCCTTGAGCCCAGGAATTGGAGGTTACAGGGAGCTATGATGATGCCGCTGCACTCTAGCCTGGGCAACACAGCAAGACCCTATCTCTTAAAAAAAAAAAAATTTGATAGAAGGATTCCAAGTTTTTTTTAAGTTTTCAAGATTAATTAAAAAGTAAAGAGTTTTGCTTAACTTATGATTTCTACAGAATGATTAATAAAAACCATTGCAAGTAATGCAAGATATATCATTGGTTTATGCTGCTTAGCAGCTTTTCAATAATAAACCCTTCATCTTGCTGCACAGACATTTAGCGAATACAAATATTTAAGTTTGGAAAAATAATAATCATTAAATTGGAGTTTGACCAGAATATTAATGTCTGGTTGCTTTAAGATATAATTTGGATATCTGTAGTTTCACTTTTTCACTTAGAAAAATGAGGTTCAAAAGAAGAAAAAAAATACTTTGTATCTTTGTTCTCAGTTAAGCCAGGCCATACAAGAAAAATATTTAAACTGGTCTAATAGTTTTCATGTTTTTATTTTCTTTCCTTTTACCAAGAATATATGCATGAAAAGAACCTCTTACTTAAAAAGATGTTCCTGGCAACCTGTTCAACACTTTAAATATTTATTATTTTCAGTACCTGCTGATGCTTCCCAAATTGGTCCCATTCTAGCACTAAAATTAGTAAGGATACTATTTATCTTGCTAAGTAGATTTAATTGGAGCATCCAATTAACATCTGGCTATTTCTACAGCATTAAAACAGGGGATAAAGGGAGTAAAATTTGAGGTAGCTAATTATCTGACATCACAGAAGGGAAAAGAACCTTGTAAGACCAAATTCAGCTTTGTAAACAATTCAGTAAAATTATTTTGCTTATATAGAAATACCCATACTATTTTTGAAAGTCAAGAAGGTTTATGATTGGTTCTGCACTATATATTAATTTAAAAAGCATATTATTCTTAAGTACATTACAGCCTTTCTGTTGTATTTTACTCATATCAAGTGTGCTGTTTATAATTCACCTTGTTAAAAATAATGTGCTTGACCTGCTAGTGTGTGATAGGAAATATTAAAACAGTTAAGATCCTTAGACATTTCTGCCTGTAAGTTTTCATTGGATTTAAAGACCAATTGAATCAATGCAGCTTGATGTAAGTAGTTCTATGAATTTAGTGTAACTGATCTTAAATGTAAAAGCAATATATTAAAACCCCGTTTTGTGTAGATGAAGCAATCTTTTTAAGTGCCCATCATCAAGATTGCATTTTGTGTGCTATTTTTCCAAACCTAGGAAGATGGCAAGTGAAAGATTAGCACTAGCCTAGAAACATACTATTCCAGTTAGATCTTAATTTACTACCTGGAATGAACCATCTTAGGTGACCACCCTTCCACACTAATAGTTAGTACATAGTACTTCAGTTTTAAAGTCAACTAGAGCTACCTTCTATCCCTAGTTTCTTTGTTTCATGTCTGTAAAAGTAGGAGGAAAGTTCTAATTTGTAACTTTTTGAACCTTTGAGTTTTTGTCTGTGTTTAAATAGATGACTATTAACCCTAACAGACCTTACCTCTGTGATACCATTATTTTAACAGTATTAGTAAGTATGTTTATAGAAAGTATTTGTGGGGTCAAACAATAGTCTTTTCTGTTATACAGTCAACTAAAGATCAAAATATTAGTAATTGGCATTTATGTAGAATCAATTTTGAATATAGTGATTTGTGATGCTAATCAGACCCCAAGTAGCTGTCGTAGAGTACATGCTTTTTTAGCTCTAGAATACACAAAATTTCTGTTTGTCTGTAGAAATAGGTTTCTGTATTCAGCTTAGACAGAGAGCACCCTAGAGGATATTGTAAATAGGTTGGGAAAGCAATTTATATACAATTGGATTTTGCTCTTAAAACAATCTTTTAGTTAAGGTCAGAATTTGAGAATTGATGTAGATTGCAAGTAAAGACAAATGTTCATGATTATATGGATTTGTAAAATGAAAGAGTAAAGCATACATTAATAGTTTAAATATTTATATATTTTCTTTAATGTAGATTCATATAATTTTAAAAACCTTAATAGTGTGTTCTTCATTTTTACCAGAGTTCATTTTAAAAATGTTTGTTTAGGTTTTACCGCAATCACGGCAACCAACCCCATTTGGCTTATAAAAACTCGGTTACAGCTTGATGCAAGGTATGTTAATTTCTTAAAATAAAATTGGTTAAGTGGGTTTAACTGATTTATTTTTATAAATTTATGTTAGTAAGATTTTAATGTCAGCTGTCTAACGCTGTTTTTCTCTACTTTTGTTGCTGGATTTGTTTGTTTTTTTACTGTTTTGTTTTGAAACTTGGGTCTGCCATCAGAAGCAAAAGTGATAGGTGAAGAAAGTGTATTATGTGTTGTATTTTATAAAAAACAAAAAGGGTATTTTGACCCCGCCCAAAAAGTAATACTTTTCTACATAAGTGCTTACAATTGGCTAAATAAGCCACACGGTCAACTAGTCTAGACTGAATCTTTGAGGATCGTTGCTCAAAGCTAGTGACCTTATGTACAGAGAATCCTGGGCTGGGAAATAACTTTTATATATGCATAGACTTCATCTGTTACCACTGACCACTTTACAATAGCAAGATTCATTCATTCAGCAAATCTATATTGAGCCGATACTGCTATGTTCTAGACTCAGAGATATACCAGGAAACAGTAGAGACCAATTTTCAGTGCAATAATCAAGTAATGGCTTTTTTTTGAGTCCATTATAAGCAGAGGAAACAGTGCAGACCCCGGAGGTCCTAATTATATGGCCTTTGGTGTCCTAGGAACTGGGAGGCCAGAAGCAGTGCAGCTGAGGGTCTTGCTATCTCATTTCCTGTTGGCTTTAGAATGGAGAATGGGGAAAAGTAATATTTTTAAGTATTGAGATAGATGATCCTGTCTGGTGTGTTATAATAATGTTAATAGTTTTGAACTATTTTAGACTTGCAGTCTGGAGTAGGTTTTGTGTATAGCATACTTCCACTGTTTTTATTTTGAGGGGATTGGAAAGTAGTGTTATATCCTATAGGCTATAAATAAAACTGATCTAACCAATCATTAACCGTTAATTTTGCCTGCCTAAATATTTGTTTTCCATGTTCTGTTGTGTTGAACTAGATGCTATTTGGAAACTTGAAAAGAAATGCCTTAATTGTTTCATCTGGATTAGCCCTTTTAGTGAAATCTTAAGTGTCGTAGCAAAGCTCAGAGTTTATTTCTTAAAGCCAAATATCTGAAAAGTAATCATAGCTAAGACTTAACCCCAAGGGTTAAAAAGTGTGAGATGCCAGTCCACATTATACTATTATTGTAAACTACCAGAGTTATGTTTTACTGCGTTACAGGGCTGCTCTGTAGGGAATCCAGGAAAGGATGGCTTAAAACTCTTTAATATCCTTTCCTTCCATTTACAACTGTAACATAGCTAGCACAATTTTAGGCTTATAGGGGTGGGGAATGGGATAAGGATAAAGTAATAGTGAAAAGTTGACTTGAGGATTCTAAAACACAACATAAGAGATGAAGAATAGGGCTGATATATCTGCATGTCACCCTTCCAGCCTTAGATCTCTTTTAACTTTGTGTAAAGAAGGATCTCTAGTGGTAGAAACTAGTTACAGTAGGTTACATGGATCATTCATCTAAATAAGGTATTTGACAGCTAAAGACAATCATTAGTTCATAAAACTGGCAGAATTTATAGGTTATTAGGTGGGTGTTTTAGTTTTGGTTATATTTTCTGTCAGACATAGGTATAATTTATAAATAGATAAATTTTCTATTACTTTCTCTACAGGTAGCGTTTAAACCCATTTTTTACAGATAAGGTTCTATTGGGGAAATCATAGTGTGAGGTAATAAATACTGTTACAAACTCAAAATTATATACATATGTAACAGATCTCATACTCGATAAGAGTAGGTGCTGCCCCCTTGCGTAGCACTAAGGAAATTGTCTTGGGTACAGTACTGAATAAATACTTGCTAACTGCACAGATTTGCATTCACTATTCACTGGGGATACTAATAGGCCATTGCCTTTAAATAATCAAAGGGAATTTGAGTTACGTTCACCTGTCACTTCTTGGGGAGGATCTGGGTGGGGTTGAAAGAGAAACCCCTCAGGTGCACAGAAATTTAATCAGTCATACATATTCCTTGCTTTATGATATACTATCATCATTAGCATCCCAGTCATTGTTTTTGTGTTATTAAATGCAGAGGAAATTCAACTTACTGAAATTAATAAGATGTGAGAGTTTTGTTTACTTTGTTTTATTTTTATTTTGAGCTGCAGAGTGTATAATTCCTAAAAGATTTTGTTGCTTATCCCTACTACATGAACCCCAGTGAGAATGCGAAACTGAAGATTGAATATAGCGCATTTTGCATTCAGTAAAATAAACTAGTTACATGTTACCCATTCAATATGACAAATTTGGGACAAAAGAATAGGAAATCTAAAATAGGAATGGTTTTTTAAATTCCAGTTTTACTTCATGAGTTAAAGAAGACCATTCCTTAGTAGAGTGACATATTTTTACTGTATTTGATTTACTTTAATTAAAAACTTTAATTACACTCCTTTATTTATGTCAGTAAGATCTTTTCTTTTTGCTTTTCAGGAACCGTGGGGAAAAGCGAATGGGTGCTTTTGAATGTGTTCGTAAAGTGTATCAGACTGATGGACTTAGAGGATTTTATAGGGGCATGTCTGCTTCATATGCTGGCATATCAGAGACTGTAATCCATTTCGTTATATATGAAAGTATAAAGCAAAAACTACTGGAATATAAAATTGCTGCTACAATGGAAAATGAAGACGAGTCTGTGAAAGAAGCATCAGATTTTGTGGGAATGATGCTAGCAGCTGCCACGTCAAAAACTTGTGCCACAACGATAGCATATCCACATGGTAAGAAGACTTGAGTTTATTTGAGTGATAATCTATTAAATCAGAAATATCTCCCACCCAGGCAATAACAAACTTAATTAGAGCATTTATAATTTTATTGCATCCTGATATAACAAAATAACATTTCTTAGGAGCTCATAATGGGATTAAATCTGGTTAAGTAACATAAGGCTGTAGTAATAAGTTGGTATAGGCTATCAAGTTGCATGGTGGTGACTGGGCATGATCTCTGAAGTCAGATAGTCAAATTCCAGCCACACTTTCCCCGGCTAGCTGACCTTTGGGCAAGTTTCTAATTTTTGAAAACAGTACGTATATAGGTGCTGTGGTTGATACTTTACATACATTATTGCTAACTACATAAAAATCCTCTAAAGTACTTATCTTCCCTGTTATGCTAGAACATAACCAGAATTGTGCTCATCTTCAAATGGGACACAAGTAACTTGCCCAAGGTCACATAGCTACTCCGTGATGAAGCCCAGATTTGAATTGAAGTCAGTAATCCCAAAGACCAAGCTATTTTATATTACTTCATGTTGGCATGCCTTTAAATTTTGCAATATTAGTCTACTTTATTAATAGCTAAATAAGTCATTTAAAAATTTGTCTGCCACATGCTGAAATTTTTATTTTCTTTTTTTAAGACAGGATCTCACTCTGTTGCCTGGGCTAGAGTGCAGTGTTGTAATCATAGCTCACTGCAGTCTCAAATTCCTGGGCTCAAGAGGTCCTCCTGCCTAGCCTCCTGAGTAGCTGGGACTACAGATGTGTGCCATCATGCCTGGCTAATTTTTTAAAAATTTTTTGTAGAGACAAGGTCTCACTATATTGCCCAGGCTGATTCTCAAACTCTTAGCCTCAAGTGATCCTTCCATCTCAGCCTCCCAAAGTGCTAGGATTACAAGTAGCACACTGAAGTGTTTGATAGCTTTTGTTGTTGTTATTTAAATGTAGCCTTTGATTTTGGGTGTGTTTAAGATTTCTTTTGATGTTTTGGGTTTTTTTCTTTGTTTTGAAATCTAAGTGCTTCATTTTGGTTCACTGATTAACATTTACATTCTCCCTTGTATATCACATCTAGAAAAATGAAACTGGGCTAGGAAATGTGTATTTATGTTATTTATGAAACCCTTTAACCAAGTTGCATTGTGAACTTACACGGTTTCCTGAGGGAAGTTCCCGATTTCTGTGAAAGAAAACAAAATAAGACAGTATTAGCAACATTGTCGAGGTTCTGGCTTCCTATGAATGGATTAGAATGGTAGCCTGCTAAAGTGTAAAGGGAAGAGTTTTGGGGCTGAAGCAGTCTGTCCCTTTAGATGAAATGAAGTCATTACAAGAAGAGGTATAATTGTAAACAGGATATTTTGGAGTTAAATGTATAAATGGCATGAATCTTTATGACAGGACAAGACCTTTCAAATAAATATTTACAATTGCTGTGGGCTGCTTTAGATTATTTTCCCCAGGCCCATCAGGAATAATTTGTTGAAAAAAATTTGAAAAATAATGAATGTAGAAAGAGCAGGCACATTCTTAAAATAGGAAGCTCTGAATTCTTGTCCCAGCCTTCTCCCAACTGGCTAGAACCTCTCAGTTGCCTCAATTTCTCACCTTTTAAAGTGAAGAAAAATTGGACTAACTAATCTCTAAAGTCCATTCAGCTCTTAAAAACTTAAGATTTTGTTCTTAAGTTTGCTTCTTTGTCCACATGTTTTCACATTGGTATATGTGGGTCATTGTGAGTAGATTAATCATTCTATTTTTTCTTTTTATTGTATACTTTTTAAAAAATGTTTTCTGCTTGTTTCTCACTATAATCTTTTTACATGCATTTGTGATAACCACCTATACTCCCTTACCTGCTTCTTTACCTTTTTCTCCCTATCATATCTGCTCTCCCTTGTATCTGTTTATCTAGTGTACAGCTGATACTTTCTTTTGTTTTTTCACATTCAAGACCTGTGACGTCTTCTAATTAGCGTACATGATTTTGGCTATAGTAGTTTGGTGTTACCATAATGTGACTGGTTTCAATAAGCTACACATTAAAAGTCACTCCTTATGTGAGCTTACCCTTAGAGACTAATAGGATGTGCTCTGTATAAGTAAGAGGGTATAAAGACACCAGTAATGTTTAAATTAAATGATTTTATTTCTTTCCTAAACAGAAGTTATAAGAACAAGACTACGTGAAGAGGGAACAAAATATAGATCTTTCTTTCAGACACTGTCTTTGGTTGTTCAAGAAGAAGGTTATGGATCTCTTTACCGTGGTCTAACAACTCATCTGGTGAGACAGATTCCAAACACAGCCATCATGATGGCCACCTATGAATTGGTGGTCTACCTACTCAATGGATAGTAGCACATAGGGCTGCTGTACTACAAAGAGGGAAGACCAAAAGATTACAGTGGACCATGGAGTATCAAAGCCAGCCTGGTGGACAGAAGAAAAATAGTTTGGGAACACATAACTGTGCTTAAGTGGAAGTTTGGTTGTAAGAATTAAAGTAATCATACCACATTACTTGGTCTTTCAGTAATGTGAATAAAACCTCGGAGCCTCCAAGGAAATGCCTTTAGAAGCACTCCTTTCTCAAAATTGCCATTTTCTCTACCATGTCTGCTAGACACAGTTGCGTTTATTGATTTATAGCAGTGAGATTATAGTATTGTTTATTCCATGAGCACTTTTCCAGTCTTGTAAACAAAGCCATCCCTAATTATATACTGTAACTATCCAAAGATAGTATTGGCAGTCATAAATTTCTAACTTCTGGCTTTTAATTCCTGTGAAATTGTAAAATAACAATAACAGTGAGAACCTCAGTATTATTTTCACATTTTCCTGAGAGGACCTGGAACAATATTTTAAATTACATAGTATTAGTAGTCACTGTTTTTGACAACCAATGAAATAGTGTCTAAATATCTTGCGTATTTTTAGCATTAAAATGTTTTGGTTTCCACTGCTAAAAGGTGCTTAATGTTTAGCCTAATGTGGACATTTAAGTTGTTTGTTAACATGTCAAACTCACATGATAGTAGTTTGAGACAAAATAAACTAGTAAAATGTTGATCCTTGGCCATTTCATTGACTTGAGCGTGTCCTCGTATCTTCTCTAATTTGATGGTACATAAATGAATGTAATTATCTTTTCAGTGACTTACTAGTGATAAACTTGAATTTTTACCTGTTCATCATACCTAGGTATCATTTACTTAAAGTGGAAAAAATTTACCACTTTTGAATCTTTTTCTACTTACTTTCACATTAAGAATTTGAACCTTTGAATTATTTCCAGATCTTTGTAGATTACATTTATTTTGTAGAGAAAATGGTAATTTTCAGTTTGCCCTTACAAGTTTTTTTAAGGTAATGTTAATATTTGGAATAGTAGAAATATTACAGAAGAGGGGCCCCTGCTATCTGATCCAGCAGGTAGTAATCTTAATTGACTTACAGTTTGATAAATGAGCAAACTGCTTTTGACAAGAAATTTATTGTGTTCTAGTTTCCTGAATGGTAAATCATAGAAATATAAAAGTTAATTTGGGTTAAATGTGCTAATAGGATATAGCTTTTAAATTTTGCAATTGAGTTAACTGTAACTTTTAATACTTTAAATGTATTATATGTATGGTCCTTATAGAAATGTTTGCTATAATTCTGTTAAGAGACTTTGCCTATGGATGTTGCTATACTGGTGTATACAATTTCCACAATTAAACTGTAGTGTGGTACTCATTTCAATACACCTGAACTGTACATTTTGTGCAATGGCTTTATCTTAAAGAATGATCTTTGTGAATGCACTTTGTGGCCTTTTTTGGGGGTGAGAGAGGAGAGAATTCCTGTTAAGATTTTTTTCTTTTTTGAATTCTGGTCATGTATTAGGCAGAAACAGTGTTCATAATGTTTTTCTGGGTTTTAGGTATGTTATTTTGGAGATAGTCAATATGAATGTTTTAAGTAGTCCATGTACCCTATAGTGTCCCCAACATTACAGAAAATTGCATCGTGTCATTGCAAGCTTTCTCTGCTGTCACCAATGAAACATAGTTCCCTCTTAAATTCCCCCACCTTAACTTCCTCGTAGTCAACAGTAACTGGATGTTTTTGAGGTGCTCAATTGGGATATTCCAATCTATTTGGAGACCAAAGGCAAACTCAGTTTTCTTACCTTTGGAATTACTAATGCTTTTTCTGGTAAATTTCAGCTTTGACATTTATTGTGAGGAGTGTAACCAACACCCCCAACCCCCTCCCAAAATGGGGTTTCTAACTTAAAATCTGTAGAGAAGGTCTCAATCTATAGTGTTTGCCTTTTCAGGTGCCATTTATACTGCCTAGTATAGTGCCATTTGCCTTGTGAAGATCCATAAACATTTGTTGTGTTGAATGTAGGGCAAAGACTCTCCCTAGTCTTACTGATCTCAATACCCCACAAATGATTAAGAATGATGAAAACCAGCAGCTAAGAAACGTCTTATTATTTAGTTGTAGCAAATTCATAAGTGTCCTTCAAGGATGAAAATGTATTCTATTTGTATTTAGAAAGTAAAATTTATGTTGACCTTTAGTGCATTATATTCAGCTTTTAAAAGTGAGTATTACATATGTACTGGAAAGAAAAGAGATCTTAGTTAGGCTTTATTTGTGTAACAACCGGAAAGAAGCAATGAGGTTTGGTTTTTTTTCCCCTAAGCACAATATGCCATAGTTTATGTATAACAGAGATAATTCAAAAAAGAAAACTGTCTATAAAAATTGTATATAAAGTTTGTCTCTGAAATACTTCTTTCAGGGTTTTTTAAAATTGATTCAAATATTTGAAAAGAAACGCACATTCAAAGCATTAGACTTTTTTTTTTTTAAACTGTTTTCATGTGTTGTCTATCAGATAACTTTTATTTCTGGTATAAAGGTAGTTATTCTTCAAATTGATATGTACTGTTATTGTAGAATCTTCACAGAAGGTTGAATTGAATTTACCTGTAACTTATGGAAATGGTTTTCTAAATTTTGGAGTCCAAATCTGGGAATTGCCAACCTGCAATTATAGGATACCATACAGTGCTTTTAATGCCAAGGGAAAAAAACTGTTATCACCAAAGCTTTGTCTTGATTCTCATTATGTTACTTTATAGAATCAACCTTACTAAATGGGCTCCCACAATGGGTTTGTCTTTTTTTTTTTAAATAGAGATAGGGTTATGCTATGTTGACCAGGCTGGTCTGGACTCCCTGGCCTCAAGCAGTCCTTCCCAGTTCAGCCTCCCAAAGTGCTGGGGTTACAGGCATGAGCTACCACACCCGGCCCCACAATGGGTTTGCAACTTTGAAACCATGACAGAATATTAGATTATTTAATTCAGCCTTTTGTCTCCTAAAACATAATGCCCGATGTGGAGCAGCAATATTATATTAGGACCAGCAGTTTGGGTTGTTAAAAGTAAAAGTTTACTCTTTTACTGGAATATAAACATTTCAGCATTTTTTTGATTTGTTTTAAATCATTAAAAATACTGATTTGAATTTGAAGGATTTAAGTGCTATTCCGGAATTGTTCATGCCTGTCTTTTGTTGTTTACGTGCTCTTCTGCCCAGACTGTTAGTACTATAGGGACCCCTTTTGGGCTAAGTACAGTTCAGCCTTTTTCTCTAATATTTGATCATGATGTCAGCATCCCTCAAGAATACAGACATTTCTGAATGATTTAAATTGAAAGGAAACATCGAGGGGCCTGGCTAGCTCAGTCGGTAGAACATGAGACTCTTAAATTGAAAGGAATTTTAATATATAAAATACAGTGTACAAACTTCCCACTCAAATCTCTTCTCCATCATGCCCTTATATTTCCCATCAATCTATATACTGATTTTTATGCTACTCCTTTTAGAAACTAAATATTGTAGTTTTCCTCAGTTTTTGTGTTAATAGACTTTTTGAATGTGTACTCTTGTGTATATGTGAACAATTAAATTATGACCTATCAGTCATAGCTAAATAGTCAACTTCAAAAGAGTTAATAACTCTTGACCATTCATGTGAGGTTTTGCTATTTTTGCATTTATGTACATGGCTGTAAATTATGTGCATTTACTCTGTATTTATGTTAACTAGCTGACTTTTACTTGAATTGTCAGAATTAAAATATGCTTATGAAAATGTGGCTTTTTATATATCTTAATATTTTCGCATGGTGATCTTATGTGTAGAACAAAAGTGCATTACCATTTTCAAGCTGAATGTTAGGCTCATTTATTGATTCATTTTCAGGTTTTCCCAAATTGTAGCTAACATCAGACATTGCCCAAACTTGTAGGTGAGGAAACCAGGACAAATTTGTCATGTCCATGTTCCCTATCTCAAGGTTAACAAAGCTGCAGTTGTTTGCTCTAATAATAATATTCATTGCACTGAAGACACTGGCAAAACAATGGTTCAGGTTGATGTAATTAAGCTCAGGTATCCCGAGTTTACATTTGTGTGTGGGTGCACGCATGCATTGCTGAAGCATGCATTGCTGAGCTATGATGAGGGAATTTGTGAGTTCCCGATTTCTTAAACTTCAACTTGATATTTATACAACTGATAAAACTCAGGCAAATGTGCGAAGTGTAGTTAAATGTTTTCACTTTTTGTTTCCTTTTTTTGTACTGCACAGACCAGTTGGCTGCCTTAATATATTGAATCAATTCAAAATTTATATCAGGGCTAAGTTTATACAATGGTTTCATGTGATTTCTCAATAGCCTATAGATACAGATACTCAGAATGTAATAGGGAGGGATGAGAAAGAGAGCTGAATGTGTAAATTGGAAGAGTCTGAACTGTCTTACCAGGTAACCTACCTAGGCCTTAGATTATCTCCCGAGGCCACTGGAGAGCCTCTGGGTTTTTTCCTGGAAGGATGATTAGTGATACTGCAGAGTTAACAAATATTAAGTTCAGTTTATCTTATGTGAGCTGCTCTTAATTTATAATCTTTGAGCCACAGGAATGTCTTGAAGATGATATATGTTCTCCGAAAGTGTTAGGTTGGTTAACTCTTTTACAAAGATCTAGAAAGTTTCCTTGGAGAAAATAATATTTTAACTGGTCTTTGAAACAGAAATTTTATAGGCTAATACGGGGAGGAGCATTCTTTGTTAAAGCAAAGAGCAAAACATTTTTAGTAGCTGAAGTTGGAAGAAATTACCTGTTTTCTTTTATACTCTTCTGGGAGTTGATTTAAAAAGTAACTTTCTTGAGATTTTGAACCCAGGGATAGACCCAGGATTCTAAACCTAGTCTAACTCAGGAGCTCATCACATCAAACCAAACCCATCTTGCTGTTTCCCAGTCCTCTGTTCTTCCAAAACACCTCCTAATTCCTCCTTGAGTCTTTTATTGTTAAGTATAAACAGCCCTAACATCCTTCAACCACTACTTCTGAACCTTAGTTTTCAATGTTCTCCAATATGATTGATCTTTGTGTGAACTTAGGTGTCTTATTGGCCCAGTTTATTTGATCTACACCTTCCTAAATGATACACTCATTT